CTTCATTCGAATTCATCAATATTCGACTTCGTTCGAACTTATTAACATTCGACCTTGTTCGAATCAACTAGCGTTCGACCTCGCTCAAATTAATTAACATTCAACCTCGTTCGAATTAACTAAGTCAGGAACTCTTACAAAGAAAATAGCATGCGAAGAAAAGCAAAAAAAGCCAAGAACATACAGCAAAAAGTCAATAGTCATTCCATTCAAAAATATAAAGTATCTTACAAAGGGCCAAAAAGACCGCCTTCAAAAAAAAGAGAAAGAAAGAATAGAACAAAAAAGAAAAAAACTAAGTACAAGATCACACTGCATCATCTCCGCCTGCGCCATCGCCACTTTCACCGCCCAACCCAGCAACAACATCTCCACCTTCGCTCGCGCCATCAGCATACTCTTCATCATACCAAGGATCGGATGTAAGACCGTCCAAGTCCTCTTCATCATCGCCGTTCCCCGGCGTGGCGGGCTCATAATCACAAGCAAGCCTGGCATCACGTGCCTTAACACGGGCATCTTCGAAGTCGGCCTTAGGAACCTTCCCCGCTGCCATCAAGCTCCTATACATGTCCAGCTTTACCTCAGCATGGATCCACATCTCGTACAAATCACGAGGAACGTCGGGGAAGGCGGAAGCACGAGAGGAAGAAGGTCGAACCAACAACTGTGCCTTATCAGCCTCAAGGGCCCCAACTTGCTCACTTAGGCTCAAAACTTTTTTTTCAAGCCCACCAATTCGCTCATCAAGCCGCGTCTCCCTCAGTGCGGCCGTTTCCGCAATGGTTGCACGTTCAGACCTAAGAACGCGGATATCGCTCTCTAACGTCGCCGGCATTGCCACAGCCCCTACCCAAGCCTCCTCGAACCTCACCAACTCGGCCACCTTCTTAGTCAATTCACCACTCAGACCGCCAACTCTAATTGAGCTTTGCTCAAGCTCAGCCCGCAAGGTCGCCACTTGCGCTTGAAGGTTGACGCATTCGGCCACAACCCCCTTGCTCACCTCGAGCTCGTCGTCCTTGGCCCTGAGTAACCCCTCGAGCTCACTGCATCTACCAATAGTTTGCACAAGCTCCTCGTCTTTCAACTCGGCTCTAAGGGACTGGAGATTACCACATGCTCTAAACCGTGCACGCATCTCACGGTACTTGTCACGATAACGGACATACTTCGGAGCCATCTTTTGAAAAATGACCTTTTGCCTCTCTTCTCGGCGGGCACTCTCGATCTCCAAAATGAAAGTCTGAGAAAGAAAAGAGAGTGAGAAGAAGACTAGTAAAGATAGAAGAAAAAGACAAGTTGCAGAAATGATACAAAAACTTACCCTCAGAGCCATCCCAGATATGCCCAGTGATAGGTCGGAATCCCGGAGCGCCTGAAGGGTCCTATTTTTGGTGACAGAACAAAGAGGAGCGAAGGAGGGGACCATGCTCACCGTATCCTCCAACAAATCGCAGTCCAAAGGGATTACGATCGAGCGAGAGGATCCATCCGTTCTCACCTCCATCCGTGTAAGCCCTTTGTCAAATATCCTCGCTTCCTCGGGATCAACATTAGAGCCAGATTAGTAATCATCTACGATCACTCCCTTCGCCCTCTCATAAGCCGAAGATGGAACATTGGCATGCCCTGACGTTGATGGACCACTACGAGGAGTGATCACAACTGCTTCTAGTCGCCCCCCTTCTTCCACGGAGGTGATCTCCATGCCCGAAGGAAGCACGGTCTCTACATCCAAGGCCATATCGCCCCTCAGCTCGGCCGTGGTCAACTCAGGTCCACCCTCCACCGGCTCCTCTCCGGCCATTCTCCTATAGCATTTAGTCTTCGCCTTTTTGGCGGAGCCTCTCCATCTTTGCCCTAGTCCGACTCATCGACCAAGTGAAACACTGTAGAAGCCGGATCTCTGCTAGTACGGCAGCAACTTGGCGATTAGGACCGTGTGAAGCCGGGGTCTGAGGAATAGCAGAGCAAGTTCACTTGCAGCCACAGCGAGTACGGGTCCGGCCGAAATACTCAACTGGCGAAAAGCAGGCATAGGAGCTCTCGCCCTCCTCGAAGCCCTCCGACCTACAAATGAAGAAAGATAAATAAGAGACAGGATAGAAAGGACGATATAAAGGTCAAAACTATCAAAGTCAAAGGTAGCTCACCGACCGTAGGTCTACGCCCAAACCTCTCATTAAATTACGACCACTCGCGAATCCCTACAGTATGAGGCAAAATCTAACTCACCCAGTCGCGAATGTAGCGAAGGAGGATCCCGCCTGGCTGCAAAAAGAGAAGGAGAATGATCAGATCGCCCAGAATAAACAACGAAGTCATTTGGGAGAAAAACACTTAAGAGCAAAGTTCCACTCTTCTGGGAATCCGCTGGGGTTTGATACCATGTGCTATGTCTTCACCTAGAAGAAAGTTCCTCTAAAATGACGATTAGTTTTATCGTCCATCCGCGGTGGCGCATATGAATCATTGTGCTCCTGTGAAAACTTGGGGCGAATAGGTGAAGCAGGTGGCGGAGAGAAATACCATGGTTGGCCAGCTCCGCGTACTTGATAAGCATAAGGAAAAGCTTGTATATGTACAAAGAGAGCTGAGCCGGGCACACATTGTAAAAATGGCAAAAATCCTCCGCCAAAGAAGGAAGAGAAAGTGTGTAGCCAACAACGAAGGGGTACGCGTAAAATGCGCAGTACCCTGGGAGATGTATTCGCACTACATCAATACCAGCAGGGATACTTTCAACGTGGGCCGGGTTTCACCATTTAGCCCTAAATGCAGCAATCGCCGCCGCATCCATCTCAACAACGACGAGTTCAGGTTCACCCTCAGGTGGGTTTTTGAAGTCTGACCTGGCCTTCCCTGAACGTGGAATTATCTCATCCACGGTGGGGAAGTTCTCGTCTTCTACCATGGCTACTCCTTCATGAGGAGGTATGTCCACAACCAACGTTACACGATTGGAGGAAGCACTAGCCATTTTTTTGATTAGGCGTGAAAAGGAAATGCAAAAACAAAGGAGATGACAATAGTAGAAAATGTTAAAGGAAGAAAGAGAACACAGACGCAAGAAACTTGAAGAAGGAAAAACTCGGGTTTCAAAGGCTCTAGAAAGGCAACAGTTCAAATAAGAAATACCCATCCCTATTTATAATAATATGGGCACCCCATTCGAGAAAGCCCAAACGCCGCCTCATTGATTTCGAAACGGAAGAGGTGCGGAAATGATATAACGGATTGGGAACATACGCCATAATGACGCATGATGAAATGATGTCATTTCAAGCTAACGTAATGGTCAGATGTGGCTCTTGAAGTGTCACGTCATCACCTAGCCATAAAAGGGTCACTCCTCGGCCAATATGCTCTGATTTTTTGAAATTACAACTGGCGAAGTCCGCCCACCGAGCTCATCCAAAAATAACCCCGACGGGCGGAGGGACTAACTGTATGGGTCAAAATCTAATCAAAGAAACATCGCCTGAAATAAGGAAATCGAGAATCAATTAGGCCGAGGTCATGCTTGAGAAGCAACACTAGCGAGCCGAGCAGCGAATGACGAGGTCGAGCACTCAGATCGGCCAAAACGGCTAGTTTAGCAATAAGATATTTCTAAAGAATATTCAAAGGGATATTCTCTATATTTGTACTTTCAGTAGGTAAGGCGAATGTCCCATATAAGTAGGAATAGAGAGAGAAACAAGGGGCATCTAATTTTCTATCTTGATAAGCTCTCTCTAGAAAAGTTGACTCCCACGTAACTGCAAACATTATCTATATACAAGATTCGATTTGATGTGTTATTCCAACCTTTCCCATATCAGATACGATAAAGTATTTGATATTTCCACGTTTGGTTATCTTACATCATTGTCAGAGGGAGAATCATCCACATCGTTATACATTTGGGTGAATTTTTCCTTTATTTACAGCTTTTGCCATTCATCATATTTATTGCTTGTCCTCATTCCCTCATTTATTCACAAGAATATCATTAAGCCTCCTTTTGGCTTTTAATAGCTTAAATGCGGTCTCTAGGTTATTACTATCCATCAATCTTGGATCTAGGACTTATTATATTTAGCTAGAATTTACCTCTTATCATTTATTTAATTAGCTTAACAAAAAGGTTTAACACTTTTTGGTCAAACATTGGACGGTTTGACGTTATATGTTTATTAATTAGATCTGTTTTAATCCGTTCAAATTTTATTCATCCCGTCTATTTACCAGCTCTTCATCCATATAGCCAGACACACCACTCATTTTCTTACTTTTTGTGCCCTCAAAGTTGGGGAAGGAGTGGGGGTCCTATAATTTGTTGTATTGTGGCCAATCATGATGAAATGAAATCACATACGTTCTCGTTCCAAAAATAGAGAAGGTGTTATATCATTTGCCTGTGTACAATTTTGTACTATTTGTATCCTCTTATCTTAGTCTAAAAATGAGAGGATAATTGCTATCCTCATAGTCTAAAAGGGTCAGGTCCCTGTGGACAATTTTGAACTGTACATATCTTGAAAATTGACAAAACGTAATGGAAAACACCAACTAGAAGGGCCAGAAATGAGGCTTATGCACATTGTATCTCCCAAGTTTTACACATCAACTCTTTATCTCTATTTAAACTAAATTGTTTTGGAAGAGCCTATTTCTCTACATCTAGCTTTACTTGGTATAAGAATTTCCAACAACTTGAAAAAACTACTACTCACTCCGTTCCAATTTATGTGAACCTGTTTGACTAGGTACGCAGTTTAAGAAAAGTGAAGACTTTTAGAATTTGTAATCCTAAACAAGTCAAAAAGAGTTTCAGAGTATTTGTATGGTTATAGAAGTTTCTCATTAAGGATAGAATTAGAAGTTTAAGCTAAATTGTTTCCAATTTTAAAAAGGGGCCTTTTTTTCGGAACAAACCAAAAAGGAAATAGGTTCACATATAGTGAGACAAAAGGGTGTATTATTTTTTATCGGATTTGGTCTTTACGAACTCAAGCCAAGTGTCTAAGATCCTCAACATGAGATTTGTACTAAAAGCATGGCCCATACAATACTGACTTAAGATGGACAATGAAGCAAAAGCAGGAAATTCAAGACCTTGAAATCCTCAAAGCTGTGGCACAAGCATGGCACGGTCACTCCAGCAGCCGTAGGACAGCTGTCGAATTCGACCCTCACTGCCGTAATTTCAAGAGCAAGCCATCAAGATTCAAGCTTGAAGCTATGAGCAAAGTGTCTACCAGGAAAATTTATGGTGCAGGCAGCTGGGATTTTAAGCAATCCCTTTGGGATTCTTATGAGCTTGTAAATATATCCAAAAAGTTAGAGATGGAGCAAATGCTAGACCACCCAATTTCTGCATTGGATGAGCTAAACTGGAATATTGGTAAGAAGCATGAGAGTGAAAAAAGCTTAAGAGACTTGTTCAACATGTCATCGAGGAGATTTAATGAAGCTGAACTACCAAAAGATAAGGGTCTATTTTTGTTCTAAAACACGTTCTCACGACTGTAGCTTTCCTAATATGTAGATTCATTTCTGTAACTAGACATGACATCTATCTTTCACCACCTCTGGTTTTCACGTCTCAGATACTTAATTTTTGGTTGCAAATCCCATGTCAACAATGTTTTAAAGATAATGAACGGAAGAGAAATAGTGGTCATATGGATTTAGTATATCAAGGCATTCGCTTCTCCGCAGATAAACAGTCAAGCTACTAACAATGATTGTACTACTACTCAAGATGGAAGCAGTCATACTAAAGAGAGAAGCTATTCCTATTTGTTTGTATGTTTTTAAAGTGAGGAGGTAATAGAGGATGTTGCAAGATAGAAATGAGTAATATAGCTTTATGAATCAGGACTAACAGTCTGGTTGATAGAGTATAACTTCAAAGAGTAATACCGAAGTTATGGGACTGCACAAATCGAAACCTAAAAGTGAGAATCAAATGTATTGGTACAACATTTTTAAAACTGAAAACCGAAAATACCAAAACCAAAATCTTTCAAAGTTGTACCAAACCGACTACACCCCACTTCCAATTTATTTATAGCAGTCTATTGTAAGCATCACATATTGCACACGTAGTACCGACTTGCTCCTAATTTTCTCCAGCAATAAGATCCATCACAACACGCTTGATGCTTCCATTATTCTTCTTAAGTAGCTTCCTGTTCATCTCTTTGTCGTGGAAACCCTGCATTCACAAAATACATAGTCAAAAGCCAGAAGTTGGTCCTTGCTTTTAAGCAGGATATGTGGAAAAGGAATGTACAGATTTCAATGTCAACTGCATTTTCAATGACCTCTACATTAACCTACCATCTCCTCCAGCTCTTCAAAGATAGGATCCCAGTCGGCAACACCGCAAAGATCATCAACTGCCTGTTCCAAGTCATACTCGTTCATCCTCAAGATTTCTTTGTTTAAGTCTACCTGTTTGAAACCCATCTCCTCCAGTTCCTTGAGGAGGGTTGCCTCAACGTCACTGTTTCCTTTAACATCCTGTGAAGATGCCTGCATCTCAGTAACAGAGGGTGGTGTAGCAGAAGTAACAGCTGGTGCTTCCTCAGATAAATCAATGGGATTTGAAATTGATGAACCAGGTGCTGAAGGAGAGACGCTCGACTTGTCACCAACAACAGTTAGCAAGCTATCATTAATGCTTGGCTTGGATTCCTCCTGCTCCTTATTTGGGTTTCCAGCAACCACTGGCTCAACCAACTCCATGGTTGGGTTTGAGAGTTCAGGTCCATCTACGCCACTGCTGGCCGGAGGGAAATTCAAGTTCAAGTATTGAGAGGATTCATCAAACAACTCCTTTTTTGGAAGGTCCACCGAGGGATCAACCTGCATGAATGAATTATAACCATTCAAAATCAGCATAGAAGCTAACTCTTATCATCAAGGAATAGTGTTGCAAGCAAACAATTCTCACCTGGATAAGCACCCATACACGCTGACCAAAGTTTTGCCCTGAAGGTGAGGCCAGCCTCCAGTAGGAGATGTACTTACCAGGAAGCTCAGGAGCAGTAAAAATAACTGCAACATCAAGCTCCTGGTTAACCGCCAATCCATCCGAAGTAATCTGCAGTTCAAGGGACACAGTATCCTCACATCTTTCCAGATATATAAATTAATAAACTGTTAACAGGACCAGAATGTGGATGGTCAACAATGGGGAATCACAAAAAGCAAATACTTGCGTGTAAATTCTAACCTGTAACTCAACAGAGCATGCATCACATAATCTATCTCCCCCAATCCAAACAAGTTTTGTTCCTTTTGGCCAGACAATATTACCATTGTTCCTCATTCTCCAGATCTTGATAAATGGAGACGAAGGAGCCATGATACTGCCATCAAGTACACTGACATCCTCTATGAAGCAGCTGTCCAGCTTAGGTCGACCCGAGTTCAACCCACAGCCTTGAGATACTTGTGGAACGGTAGGGGAACGCATCCACCCATTCTACAGACAGAAAAAGAGTAGACAGAGTTGATAAAACAGAGAGAGAGAGAATACACATAGAAAATTGGAAGAAAGAAAAAAATGATGAACTCCTTATACAGGATCATATAAACCCTTGAAAGCTAAGGGATGCTGGTAAGTAACAGGACGATCCATTCTGATGTAATCAGCATCATTTCCCATTTGTGCAAAGCATATGCTGCAGAGATCATAGTCCTCCTTTCTGCATGAACACGGAAGATTTGATGAGTCAGTTAATGTCGACAAGTCAAATTGTACAAATACAAAGCTACACATCTTACACTTTAGATTTGAACCTAGGGCCAGTTATAGGATGAACCCCACAACCATCACAACGAACACCTCTATGAAAAATTGTTGCTGCTCCATCACTGTGATTATGGTTCCTTTTAAATGGTATCTCAAAAGGAGAGTATTGAGGCAGCACAGTGTCTTTTGCCAAAGGCACCCCAGTCATGAGATATGAACTTGGACATCCAAAACCATTTGAAAGCATCTCGGATGAACTACCATTGCAACCCAAACTACGAGAGTCCCAGAGTATTTTTGCAAAATTGGAACTTGCAGAGCCACCTGGCTGTTTATCAGCTGCCTTTTCTAGGCCTGTGGGTGAGGAACTAGAATACGAAATACCAAGAGCCTTTCCAACAAGATGGGAATCACCAAATTTCTTACTATGTTCCTTCTTAACATCAACCAGACATGTGTTAGGCTTAGGATCTTTGGACAACGATTCACATTGAGTTTCACTCCGATCTGGTTGGGAAGATCTCAATTTTGAGGCATCTGTAGATTCAGTATGATTTTTGGGTTGGCTTGCAAATTTAAAGATTGCGTCCTCAGCATTCTCTGCAGGGGATGGCTCTTCCTTTTTGAGGGACGACTCTCCACTTTTAACACTAGTAAATGCTTGTGAGGTTGTTTCATCTACGACACAGCCAATTAAGTCTTTTGTCACTGTCACACCCGTATTGATTCCAGATGCTGGAACCTGTGAGCCAGTTTCTGAGGCAGGCTGGGATCCCGAAGCCTGCTTTAAGTAGGATAAGCCGATCGCCGAGAGAGATTTGGAAAGCTCAGCAATTTCTCGGGCAGCTGATGAGGCTTTAGCCGCCATGTCTGCAGAGTGCTTTAAGATTTTTCCGCTTTTTGATTCTGGCAAAGATTTGAGAAGATCAGAAACACTCGAATTTATGTTCGGAAATGTAGGCTGGACCACTGGGGATCTCAGGGAGGTAGAATTTCCACTAGATGCATCTGAAGATCTGATAATCTTTTTAGCATTCAATCTCACAGATATTCGCAGGGGATTCAGGTTCTGCCTCGTGATATCCTGCAGATCTTCATCATCAACGAGTGTTACAGCATCACCGTCCTCATCAATGTATGTCAGTGTGAATTTAGTATTTGGAGCAAAGTTGAAAAGTTGAAAGATCTTGTCTCTCAATCCATCCATGTTAAGACCAAGTTTATCATCAGCAACACGGGCATTGAATCGTCTAAGTGTCTTTCCATAATTCACCTATAAAGTATCCAGAGCCAGCAGAAACCCATTAGTACCAACCAAAAATCATCCATAGGAGGCTACAGTAAATGAGTCGAAACATAATCAATGGAACATAAGAAAATTAAACAAAAAAGCACAAACAGAACCTCTGCTAGCTCTCCTCCTCAACAGACATTTGTTTCAAGAGTTAAACCAATGTCAAGGAGTCTAATGTTATCATGGAAACAGAAGACGACATATATTCATACAAGTGTTTATACATAGACAAGATTGCATAGCATGTGGAACGCCCTGAAGGTCACAAGATCATAGGAAAAGCTAGAGTATAACAACAAGTACGCCTCAATCCGAAACAAGCTGGGGTCAGCTATATGAATCTTCATATACCATGTTAACTCAAGCCAACATTTTACAAAATAAAAATAAAAATGAAATCTATATTTTCTACTGGCATAAGAATCTCTATAGCGCTAAAAGATCCTAGAAGGCATATAAGAGCATATCCGGCTAGATATAATAAGAACATATAAGAGTCTCTAATAGGAAAAGCTAGAATATCCGGCAAAAAAAAACATATGAGAGCAATTTTAACAATAAATTAATCGACTACTTCGCAATTCAAAACTAGTTGGATCAGCTCACGAATCTCAAACTCCTAATCTGTAAAGTGAAAAATAACCTAATAATTAGTGCTTAAATCATAGTATATGAATATCAAATCGTCAACGAGAAGGAAAAAAAGAAAATCCACAACCCAGAACACTCTAAAGCATTTATTTACAGCTTAATGATCACCGCATTGAAACCTCTAATATTCTCTACATCATGCAGTAATAGGAATATCTTTACACTGCAAAACAATTGCTTAATTTTGGTATAACCACATCTCAACATAGAAAAGTAAGAAAAACTGATCACATACGAAAAATACATGCAGGAACAGTAAAAGTCAATTTAACCAAAATAAATGAATAGCCTAAAAGATCAAACCTTGATCACGATAGAAGACTCCATGGGGGTAGAGCCAGCGTTCGGGGTAAGCCGCACAAACGTTTATACAAAAAAACTAGTATATATCTATAGGACTACGATAAGAATTATAAACCCTAACCCTAGAGTTAAAATTCAACAGAATGCAGCGATATAATCGGTGAAATAGAAGCAGATGAAGAGACTCCCTAAACCCAAGGGTGTCTATCTTTGTCATGTATATTGCATTTATATTGTTTCTCTTTTTTTAGCGCATTTATAGTTTGGGCTCTGTTTTATGTTTTTTCTTTTCTTTTGTTAAATTTCATTGCTTGGTTCCGAAGAATACTGTCAAAATAGCACGGTATAGCCAGTTTTCGGACTGGTCATTCAAAAATAGCCAGCGTTTATCAAGTCAATGAAAAATAGCCACTACTTTGCTGCAACAAAGACCAGCCCAGCATAATATACTGGAGTTTGGTGCACCTGTGTATGAACTCCAGCATATTATGCTGCAGTGGTATACTTTGCTGGCTCCAGTATAATATACTGGAGACTGGAGCACTGGTGCTCCAAACTCCAGTATATTATGCTGGACCGGTATACTTGCTGGAACTCCAGTATATTATGCTGGAGTTCTAGTGTACTTATTGTGGAACCAACATACTTATCCTGGAACTCCAGTATAATATTCTGGAGTTCAATTATACTTATGCTGGAACTCCAGCATAATATACTGGCGTATTTTTAGGGTTTTGAACAGTGTTTTCGCTGAGATTTATCTTTACATGAAAAATGGCTAAATTTCGATTA